TTTTTCATTCTTTTTTGTTTTTTTTAAAAAAAATCGTTTTTGAAATGAAAAGCTTTAAAATTTTAAAAAATACCCGGGAGGAATCTAAAAAAAAATTTTAAAAACCCAAAAATTGTTTGCACCTCAATAAAATAAGATAAAAATTACAAATTTAGTTATTAATTTTTTTTCAGAATAAAAGAATTTTGAAAATTTCCTCAGGAATAAAAGTTAATTTTTCAATTTTTTTTCATGATGAAACACACCAAAAAAATATATTAAATAAGTTTGGGTGGGAATTATGACCTTATTACCAATTTTTTCCAAACCACCAATTTGTGCGGCTGCTTCCCCTGTTGGGGCCCTTTTTCGTTTTTGAAAAAACCTTTATAATGAAAAAAGTATAATTTACTAACAAACACACAAACAAATGATCCGTCTTACACTTGATATACAGTGTAATTAAATTAGTAACAGAAAGCAATGAAAAATGCTTTTTCCTACTTAACTAAATACCCCAAAAAACTTGTGTTTTTCTTCAGATTTTCTTGGGGGATCATCCGATCTTTGGGAGAACTCTAAGCTATCTAACAAAAATACATGTATACTGCCTACATGCAAAAATTTGCTGAATACACAGCAAATTTATTGCAACAAACCCAAAAAATTGTAACTAAGCAGCTTTTCAATAATTTCAGTTCAGATTCCAATAAGTTATTCAAAGTATATTAACAGAAATACATGTAATTCTTCTTTCAAGAACAAGAAAGAACTTTAAAAAAGGTTTCCTCAAGGATGAAAATGTTGAATTTTCTTTTTGTTTTGCATAGATTAGAACACACAGCTGTTTAGGTAAAGTAAGGTTATTTCTAGGAATTCAGTGTATACTAGGTCTGGCAGAGATCCGCATGCATTCTCTCAGTACCTAATTAATTTTGTTTATGTTTTTTTAAAAATTAATATTGTCAATTCTTAGTAATTTTTAACCAATTCTGCTTAATATTACTAAATGTAGTGTATTCCTTATGTTACTGTCAACACTACATGCAAGTCTTCAGTATCTGAGTTACAATGTTATTTCTATTGACATGCTGTTATGTTATGCAGTCTTTACTGTTCATTCAAAGAGATCCTCGTTCTTTGTGCAGACTTTAGACACGGGTTCCACATCAGTGCAGGGCATACTAATTACCCCAGTGATTATAGAAACCTGCGAACCTTCCTTCAAAACAAATGCCTGACCAAAACAGGTCATAAATGTAGCCAGTTCAAGGTTTTTTTTTTACAATTCTTAAGTGTTTGTGAAACACTTAAAAGTTTGACTTCTAAAACTTGAGGGTATTGAAATACTTTAAAATTAAGTCTCATAAACATTTAAAATTAAAACAGATGGATATACCATATATAGGCATGTAATCATGATGAAATATGGTGATAACAAGCAATTGTGAAGCCCAGTGACTTGAAATGATAAAAATAGGAGCAGAGCAAACACAGACATCTCAATTTAATACATCAAAGGTGAGATCAGGTGCCATTGAGAAGTAAGCATCCTTTAAATCTGTTGAATGGTAACACCACTGTATGCTCTTAATACAGATATTTTGTTTTATTAATTTTTATAAATTTCATTTTCCATACCTTGATATTTTCTGAGACCCCTTTGTCACTCAAACATTCAACAAACGTCTCAAAGGCATAGTTCAGGTCGGGACCAGCATAGGCACCTGATAAACATTGAAAGACATTTAGAAATCTTAGATTTTCATCTCATGCACTGTAATTTTACACCAGAAAAAATTTAATAAACAGCTGAGCTTTAAATTAAAATTATGGCAGAATACAGACCTCAATGAAGGATTTTTTGAAGGAGTACAGTTTCTCGTCGTATAAGAACGTAATCAGTAAACTGGTGGAGGGCTGACTGTGGGACGTGTTCTGTAGATTGACTATTAGTTTGAAGGTAGAACCGATTCCTTGGACCTTAAAGTAACATGTTCAAACAAATAGAAGCATTTATTATTTAGAATAATTTGCATTAAATTTTACTAATACCTTTATTAGCCTCAGAATAATGTTTCTTTATAATTAATATAAAAGTAAGGATAATTTAAAGAACCGAATTCAATATACGGGATATTTGGAAATAATAGATCTACTTTTGTGGTTTAAGGACATAAAACCTGACAATTGCAGGAATCATTCAGAATTGAAACCATGCAGCTATGCAATGTATCTATGCACCTTTAGTGCAATAGCAATTCTGTATAATACATGTATGTACGATTATGTACAGTACAGACCTGAGTATTGAGTTTGAGTGGCTTGGTGTCACTTGTACTATAACACAATACAGACCTGAGTATTGAGTTTGAGTGGCTTGGTGTCACTTGTACTATAACACAAATACTGACCTGAGCATTGAGTTTGAGTGTCTTGGTGTCACTTGTACTATAATACAATACAGACCTGAGCATTGAGTTTGAGTAGCTCGGTGGAATCAGATGAGATCACTTGTACTATAACACAATACAGACCTGAGCATTGAGTTTGAGAGGTTCGGTGGGATCAGATGAGATGGGATTCATGCTGTTATCTAGAGACTTGGCATACTCCCTTAGTGTGTTCAACCTCAGTAGATACAAGTCCCTCTGGAACGTCCTGTGCATGGCTGATAAAGATTGATGATAAAGATCACATTTTGTAGCACATAATGCATATATTTAATTATTTATACAATCCAAAAGACAATTTTGTTATTTTTCATTGAGATTATGTCAAACTAACCCCCCCCCCCCCAACTGTTCAATGATCAAAGAAATTCGAATTTTCACTCTAAATGGAATTTATTTTAATAAAGTAACAATACTAACTATATGGTCATCTTGTTTTTCAAAAGCAATTAATATTTGATTTTTTGAAAATTAAAAGCAAGTCCTTTCCTGTGACATTCCTTTCTAGATGCAAACATGATTTAGAGAAACTTTATTTTGTACTACATGAGGAAGGTTTCTCCATAGGTGCTGTCTTACTATGCCCCAGTAATGGAGAAATTGTGGGTAGATGAGTTTTTGTTTTGTACATCTGTCTGTTTATCTATTTGTGTTTGTCTACAAAAACTTTAACTAAGCTTGTCTATAACTTTTGACTGGGTATGGCTTTCATATTTCACAGACCTTGTATTCCACGTGACAAGGCCCTTTTTTGGTACCACCAAATATTATTTCTTGACCTTGGAGTTTGGTCTTCTTTTACAAAAAATACCAAACCTTAACCAGTAAACTTTGTCATAACTTTTGAACTGTTGGTGGTTAGGGCTTTCATACTTCATATGTGTATTCATGGTGACAAGACCTTTCAATTGGTATAACTATTTTTGACCTTTCGACCTTGGCCTTAGAGTTTAACCCTCTTGTTAAAAAAAAAAACCTTGGCAGTTACTTTTGAACAGTTATAACTATAAGAGCTCTTACATCACAGGTATATTCCTTGGGAAATGACCTTCTAATAAATTTTCCTTAATCAATTCAGTACGTAAATTATATGAACAAGGCAGCTGGCTACTTTAATAAGTTTTAAAAATAAATTATATTGAATGTTCACTTTTAATTATCAATTTTCAACTAAAAAATATATGTACTTAAGAGAAGTAATCTTGATACTAGTAGTTTATAATAACAATGAATAAGAATACAGCCAAGTAAGAAAAGGAGTGCTAATTTAAATACTCAGTGCAAGTAGACCAGGAAGTAAAATACCAGAAAGGTAGATAACACAGGTAGGTGGATCATGTGATACCTGTACAGATCAGAGATAGACATTGTACAAGCATTTGACAAGACAGGTGCCATTATAATCTGCAGGTAATATTCATGGATGAATTTATTTGATAAATCTTGTTTATAACAATAAGATAATTTTTAAATATATAAACTGAATAAAAATGATTATGCATTGTAACTTCATGTACTAGTCTACAAATTAATATTAATGTGAATTGTATACCCATAAAGAAGGATTATTTAAAGCTAAAAAAATTGACTTGTCTCAGGGACTTGTGTTTCAGTACTTTGGAATGGTGGATTATTCTTATTATCAAAATAACATATTTGAGAAAAAATGCCGGGTAGGACATTGGAAAATCTTTGAGATGATGTGAAGAGTATGCTATAATGGAGCATATATCATGTGACTGTCTCCACTCTGGGTGGAACAGAGGCATGTATACATATATTGTATACATGTAATATAAAAAGAGAAGTTTACTTTTCAGAAGAAAACACTAAAACCTGATTTGGTTTTTTTAATGGAAATTATTAAATTAGTTTGGCAAAAATTTTAAACACCCTTCATACATTTGCGACAGGAAAGTTCTTTTTTTTTTGGGTAGTGTTATACCTTTTTCTTCATGTCAGACGTTCAAACAAAAAGACTCATCTGATTGATTTTGTATGTTGTTTACGTCCCTTTCAAGAATTTTTCACTCTTATAGAAATGCCTCCACTTGCCGATGGAGAGCTACAAATTTTGTCCTAAACTCGACACTCATGCAGGGCCGTATTGAGCAGTGAGGGATCTTTTTCATGCCAGCCAGCACCTACTGTGACAAGGGACCTCTGTTAAAGAACTATATGCGGTATATTGCATATATTTGCCCCCCAAAAAGTCAAATTATGAAATCTTCCTGAAATGTGCTGACTTAAATAAATCGTATGAGAAATATAAATTTACAGAAAATATCATAGTGTCAAAGCAGTGTATTCACAATTTTTGTTTTTATGAAGTCACAAACCAGTCCGATTTTATATCCTTTTTCAGAAAGAGGACAAAATGAACAAAATTTCAGCAATTTTAGCTTTAAAATTTATAGAGCGCAAGTTTGTTCAGGAACAGTATTAACATATTTCATTTATATCATCATTCTACACATTATATCAAAACATTGATCCTGACTTTTACTCAAAATATCGACGAAATATGTTCATTCTTCTGTAAAATTCATAAAAAACTGAAATTTACGTCATGTTTGTGACGTCATTACGTACATATGGCGTCATTACTTATGAAAATATTCAGTGCTTTGAAGTCAGCATATACTCCCCTGTTTACGAACTTCATTAAATATATCTCCATCAAAGTTTGATTTGGGGGGCAAATATTGATTATTACCGAATAAAGCTCTTTATATGCAGTCTCATCCAAAGGAGCGGTCTCCACGTCTCACAGTGAAATTTGAACCCGCGATGTAAGGGTTTACTCGTTACTTTGCAACTCTGGAGTAAGACGTTATAACCACTGCGCCATGCAGGCAACATTGATGATATCAACTTATTCTAAATTTTTGTTCTCATTAAATAAAATATGTATTCAAGATTTACAATTTTTATTCCAAACATTTATTTTAAATTTAATGCATTAAATACTATAAATTAACAAGAAATATATTGTTTACTTATAAGAAAATATATCTAAGCACCTGTGAAAAGGTGAATACATGTAATTAAATTTTTTTTAACTTTGAAAACTAGAAATTTGAGTCATTTCCCTTTTCAATGATTCATGCGGTAGATTTTGTCCTGATGCAGCAATGCCTGAGAAATGAGAAATTATTGATCACTGGTAATTTTTTTTGGCACTGTTTATTTTATTGAAGTGATATCAAAATGTTTTATGAAATGCCTTTTTTTTCCATGCTAGGTTTATTAAATCATGGACCCTCGTACCAGTGCCCAGGATGTGATGCGATGTGACCTGTGTGAGACCGCTGTGGTACAGATGCACTGTGATACATGTCTTGTCAACCTGTGTACAGCTTGTGTAGGAGAACACATGATTTCTGATGAATCCAAGGACCACAAAGTCGTCAAATTTCAGGCCAGGAAATCCACCCCTCTCTACCCTTCATGTATTTTGCATTACAATCAATGTATATTGTACTGTAAACAATGTGAACTTTCTGTTTGTTCAGAGTGCCTTACTTCTGATCAACATCTGGGTCATAAATTTTCTGACATCTTAAATGTTGTAAATGAAAAAAAGGATAAAATTATCAAAGAACAAAGTGAATTACGTGAGACAATTTATCCCACCTACCAGGACATTGCCTCTGATGTACAAAACAGAATGAGTCAGTTAGAAAAAGAATATGGAGATCTCTCAACAGCCATAACAAAACATGGAGAGGACTGGCACAGAGAAATTGACAAACTTGTCCAGAAACTTAAAGCTGAAGTTGATGAGATGAAAAACACACAGTTACAAACTCTACAGAAACAACTGGATGAAATAAACAAGACAATGTCTGGCATCAAGGATGAAATCAATACATCCTGTACTGTTGTAGAGTCTAATGAAGTTTCAAAGCTTTTTAATTTAAAATCTGTTAATATAGAAAGATATAAAAATCTACCTGAAAAAATTCTTCCATCTTTACCAAAATTTACACAAGGCAGAATCCAAGGAGGAGATATAAGTAATCTGTTTGGAATCTTATCATCAAGTTCATTAACTTCAGATAAACATGGCTACAGCATGAAGACAACACAGAAATCACCAGAAGCTGGATCCTCTCCTCCAGTCAAACAGCTGCTTGATGAACCAGAGACTGCCTCCACCACAGACACTGGGTATGGACAACTTTACAATGTGGCCTGTGTGAGTGATGAAGAAATCTGGGCGAGTGGAAATGGCAGCACCATGAAACTCTACAGCATCAATCAGGGATCACCACTCAAGTCAATCCGAACCAAGTCAAGGTACGAACCATCTGACATAGCAGTGACAAAAAGTGGAGATCTAGTTTATACTGATTACAGAGATAGAACTGTGAACATTGTGAAGAATGAGAAGATAGAGGAGGTGATCAGATTACAGAACTGGAAACCTCGCGGTGTCTGCAGTACCTCCTCTGGTGACCTTCTGGTTATCATGATCAGTGATGATAACAAACAAACAAAAGTTGTCTGTTACTCTGGCTCCACAGAGAAACAAACCATTCAGTTTGATGATCAAGATAAACCTCTTTATTCATTTAATTCTGATTACATAACTGAGAACAGGAACCTGGATATCTGTGTGTCTGACTTTGGAGCTAAAGTAGTAGTGGTGGTCAATCAGGCTGGGAAACTGAGATTCAGGTACACCGGACATACTCCTACTCCAAAGAACCTACCATTCTATCCACGAGGAATCACCACAAACAGTCAGAGTCACATCCTTACAGCTGATCGTAACGATGACTGTGTTCACATCATAGACCAGGATGGACAGTTCCTCCGTTACATAAACTGTGGATTAAATAATCCAATAGGACTTTGTACAGATACAAATGACAATCTGTTTGTTGCTGAAAATCACGAAGGGAAAGTGAAAAAAATAAAACTTTTGCAATGAAAAAGTATAACTATGGATAAAACTTTTTACTGAGATTCTAACAATCAAACAGTACATGAAAATCTTGAAGACACCCAGGTGTATTTATTTAAAATACATGGTTACTGTCTTGAAATATAAGCGATATTTGGGCGAGGGTAAGAAAACGTGATAGAGGGCGAGGCTTGCCGAGCCCTCTTACGTTTTCGACCCGAGCCCAAATATCACTAATATTTCAAGACTGTGAGTTTCCATGTATTTTGTTTATCCTGCAACATATTCTTTACATTTGAACATCCAAAACTAGCTATTTTTTGACATATTTAGGCACATCTCTGCAGTGATAACTATGACGCCATGGCGTAAACATTGCAATATATATGACGTCACAATGCTTTTAGAGCGTCGGAATACATGCACGAGGCTTTATTAGGGCAGTGACCGGATAAAGCTTTGGTTTATTAGGTTACCTTTATTAGGTCAATGCAAGGGGTAGTTGCAGGATAAAAACTGATACACAGTACGTGATGTCAATGTTGACAAGAGAAATATTTATGTAAGTTTAAACTGTCACAATAAATGAAGAACCTAGATGGTTAAGTACATGTAAGAAACAAACACTCTCACAGTATTGCCTTAGCAATACAAGTCCCATAACAGCAGGTGTAATCTAGTTCCCAATTAAAATTGAAAAATGCCATAATTCCAAAAATAATATTTGAAGTGGAACAAAATGCACACTTGATACATAAGTCATCAAGGTAAAGTCACATACCAGAAATCGGCTCAATATTTGCAAGCATGTGGGAAAAAATGCTGAAAACCCTTTAAAATTGAACGGTTGTAATAATACAGTGTGCTGTCAAAATCAATGAAGCAAAATGAAAATGTAACTCATCAGGATAAACTCACATATCAAACATCAGCTCAATATCGCAAGCATTTAGTGAAAAAGTGCAAACACCAATTTAAGTGGGACAGACAGACAGCTTCAGAGGAAAGGTAAAGTCCCCTCTGGTTTCACTGATAATAGACTAATTAGTCTAGGTTTTATGGAGGACCATGGGATTTTATATCACAGTTTCAATCTTTGTGTTCCAACATGTGATACTAAATAAACAAATACTTCAAATTTGTAAACATGGAAGATGAAGGAAGAATTCAAAATCATTAAGGTTGATAAAACCAATGTAATAAGAGATAATACTATAGAAGTCTTAATGTGTTTCCAGTATAAAAGAATTCCTTAAATTTAACTAGCAATTGCAATCATATTTCAAGCACACATATGCAACACTGTGTCCAGAAGTAAAGTATCTTAAAGTTTACTGATAATAAAAGACAAACCACTGACATGTTTGTAAAACATTGATGCCACATATGGCATATTTATCAAAAGTACATTTATGTTAAACTCAATCAGAGTCAAAAATGCTGAAACCCAAAGAAAGTCCTTGTCACAAGGATTATAGACAACACAAATGTAATTTAGAACCCCTACCAACAAATGTTCAAAAGTTATGGCCAAAATTAAAGTGTTTTTTTTTCAAAAAAAGGTCAAAATCAGAAATTCAAGTTATACATTTTTGGTACTCAAAGAAAGGTCTTGTCATGAAATACACACAAATGAAAAAATGAAAAGCCTACTAAAAACTGTTAAAAAGTTATGGTCAATGTTTAAATTCTATACCGGTAGATCAAACTCCAAGGTCAAGGTTATGATGACAAAAATGTGAGTACCCTCCAAAAAAGTTTTGTCATAAGGAATATAAATGAAAATGACTTTGAATAATTTGTTTTGCTTATAAATAGTAAATCTATCTTCTCAAAATTATGTGATGGGAAAATTTGGTGTTTACCCTGTTACTGAGCGCTCTCTCTCTCCCTCATGGTCTTTTATTCTGAGTGATACATACTGACAGCACTCTCTCTCTCCCTCATGGTCTTTTATTCTGAGTGATACATACTGACAGCACTCTCTCTCTCCCTCATGGTCTTTTATTCTGAGTGATACATACAGACAGCACTCTCTCTCTCCCTCATGGTCCTTTATTCTGAGTGATATATACTGACAGCACTGTCTCTCTCCCTCATGGTATGGTCCACAAACAGCTTGGTTTTCTTTGGGACGTTGAGGCGAGAGTTCTGAGCGGTGGGGGGACCTCCAGACAAATCCTTCTCCTCAAACGTGGCATTCCTCTTCAGAATCTTAATCATCAATCCTCCACCTACAGGAATAGAGTCAAACAAAAAAGTCAAAACTTGACGTCAGAACAGAAAAAAAATGAATGTTATGTTTTTCAAGCAGAGTTAACATTCCATGGAACACTTTAAGAAGCTAGCCTGATGAGTGAAGTCTCATTAAGAGAAAAATTAATACTAAATCAAAATATTTAATGATGTACCTCTTGACTCGGTACTGTTGTATTTATTATATTGGACACTTTAGTAAATACATTTTTAATCTAAAGTTATTTTAATAAAAGCAGGATGAGTTTTTTTTAAGAGTGAACTTTTTACAGTGTTGCCATAGGAGCTTGCAGTGCAAATGGTTATTTTGCCCCACTCATTACACGTGCTAATACAAACACAGCTTTGATTCTTAAAAGCTATGTACCTTTCAGGGTCATTATGGGAGTTCCCTCCTCCCGGCCAAACTGTCCGAACTTGAGCCCGGTGACGACGTCGTCCGTCTTGATGACGTTGACGAGGTACTTCTCCTTGTAGAAGTGGACCTGACAGTTATTGAGGGCCACTATCACCGCCTTAAAGTCCTTTAGTCTTGTAGTCTATCACCTCCATAGTCGTCATACTCTCCAGTGGATTTTTAACTATTTCCAGTTTTAGGGCTGGGGATTACATGCTGGGTCATAACCTATATACCATTTTGTGTGTCATGTTTCAAGGAATAAGATAGTATATATGGCTAAGTGTAAAGCACCTTTTTTAAAAGAATTTCATTTTCAGGAAGGGGGGGGGCTCTACAAAATGGTCCTTTTATTTTTAAAACATATCCTTCTTCCATCTAAAATTTAAATTTGTATAAAAACTTTCATGTTAAAAAATGTATTTATAAATATGTATTGTTATGGGTCAGAATAACCCTAAATGCCAGCAAAGATCAATCACACAGTTTAAACTTAACAATAATTTATTTACAGTAATATACAAATCATTAAGTACAAACTTAGCAAAAATCTAAAAATACATACATCAGAGTGTCCGTTGCTGCACACAATGTCCCAGTGAAATTATATCCCAGTAATACCTCAATGATGCTTATACGACAATCTTTTATGCATCGAATTGACAGGGTATTTATACAGTATTATAAATCTAGAATATTCTAGAAATTGTAAGTACATGATATTACTGGAAAGTTCTGGACATACACAAAGTTCAGGAATGTTCTAGAAACAATGACCGAACATGTTGACCACTCTGGAATGTTCAAGAAACTTAATGTTACTAATAATAGACATGATGAAACAACACAAATACAACACACCTCACAACACCTCCCCCCTTAAAAAGTTTGAATGTCAATGAAAAACTTAAATTGTAAAACATATGTACATTAATACAAAAATCTAATTTGTTTATGATACTCTGGACAAGGCATCTGCAATAACATTGTCTTTGCCTTTGATATGCTTAATTGTTATGTTGTATTCTTGTAACAGCAAACTCCATCTAGTCAGTCTTTGATTCTTGTTTGACAATTTATGCAAAAATGTCAGGGGGTTGTGATCCGTATATACAAGAATTGGATGCAAAGTAACATTCAAATAAACATCAAAATGCTGTAAGGCTAACAACAAAGCAAGGCATTCCTTTTCAATGGTGGAATAGTTTTGTTGACATTTTGTAAGTTTCTTTGAAAAATAAGAAACAACTCTATCTACATTATCACTATGTTCTTGAAACAAAGCTGCCCCGATTCCAACATCACTAGCATCAACAGTAAGCTTAAATTGCTTAGAAAAATCTGGAGTTGACAGAACTGGGTTGCTCATAAGGACAGATTTGATTTTATGAAAGGATTTTTCACAGTCCTTTGTCCATTCAAAGTTAACCCTCTTTTGTAAAAGATTTGTAAGTGGACTAACTACTGAGGAAAAATTTGGACAAAATTTTCTGTAAAACCCAGCCATGCCCAAAAACCTCATTAACTCTTTCTTGTTTGTAGGAATCGGGAACTTTGCAATAGCTTCCACTTTAGCCATTATGGGTGTAACATAACCTTGACCTACTTTATGACCTAAATACTCTACATAGGCATGACAAAATTCGCTCTTCTCAAGGTTCACAGTTAAGTTTGCTTTAGCTAAAATGTCAAATAAAGCACGCATGATTCGGAGATGTTCGTCCCATGTGTCACTGTATATGATGACATCATCAATGTAGGCCTCGCATCCCTCAAGGTCTTGAAGAAGGGAGTGAATCATCCTTTGGAATGTAGCCGGTGCGTTTTTCATGCCAAAAGGCATTACTTTATACTGGTAAAGTCCATCTGGTGTAGCAAAAGCAGATATTTCTTTTGCTCTTTCTGTTAACGGCACTTGCCAGTAGCCTTTCAACAGGTCAAATTTACTGACAAATTTGGCTTTTCCAATGCTGTCAATACAGTCATCAATTCTAGGTATTGGATATGAATCAGTTTTGGTAACAGAAGTCTGTACATAATCGGTACGAACCGTCCTGTTTTGGTACAAGAATACACGGTGAGCTCCAATCACTTTTACTAGGTTCAACAATGTCATTGTCCAACATGTACTGCACTTCCCTTCTTAGGTACTGCAATTTTATTGGATTCAGACGGTACGGATGTTGTTTGATAGGCAGAGCGTCGCCAACTATAACATCATGACAAGCTGCATTAGTTTTCTTTGGAACATCCGAGAAGATTTGATGATACTCATTCATCAAGTTTTTAACTTGTTCTTTTTGGTGAATGTTCAAATGTCCAAGTTTGGCATCAAAATCCGCCAAAATTTCTGAGTTTTTTCAAGCGGACACTCTGATTACAATCTTTCTCATTCATCTCTACACTCGTATCACTCTCAATACAATTTTGAACAGTCTTAGCGTTGGCTAAAGTGGAAACTGGTTTTACAGAATTTCGGTCACACCTTTCAAAATACTCTTTTAACATGTTAATGTGACAAACCCGTTTCTCTTTACGTCGACCTGGTGTCTTAACTACATAGTTTACATCACTAATCTTGCTTTCAATTTCATAAGGGCCATGAAATCTGGCCTGTAAAGGATGACCAGGAATAGGTAAAAATACAAGAACCTTATCACCTGGCTTAAACACCCTATTTCTGGCATCTTTGTCATACCACATTTTCATTTTCATCTGAGAATTCTTCAAATTTTCTTGTGCTAATTTACAAGCATTGTAAAGTTTTTCTTTGAAATCAGACACATAATCTAAAAGATTAAGATCACTAGTCTCAGTCAGCCACTTTTCCTTCAACAATTTCAAAGGACCTCTAACTGTATGACCAAACACCAATTCAAAAGGACTGAACCCAAGAGACTCCTGGACTGCTTCTGTGCAGCAAATAGTACAAGATGAACCCCATCATCCCAGTCTTTCTCATACTGGTAACAATAGGTCTTCAGCATTGTTTTTAAGGTCTGGTGAAAACGTTCTAGCGCCCCCTGGGACTCAGGATGATAAGCAGTTGATCTATATTGCCTTATACCCAACTCATGCATGACTTGCTGGAACAACCCCGACATAAAATTTGAGCCTTGATCCGACTGAATTGCCTTTGGTGCTCCTACAAAACTGAAGAACTTGGTTAGGGCCTTAACTATGCTCTTTGCCTTTATATTCCTAAGAGGTATGGCTTCAGGGAATCGAGTGGATGTACACATAATGGTAAGTAAATACTGGTTCCCAGATCTGGTCCTAGGCAAAGGTCCTACACAATCCACCAACACTCGACTAAACGGTTCTTCAAAAGCTGGAATTGGTTGGAGAGGGGCGGATGGTATCTTCTGATTCGGTTTACCTACCATCTGACAGACATGACACGACTTACAAAACTCAGAAACATCCTTCCTTAGCTTAGGCCAATAAAAATGACTCAAAATCCTATTATAAGTCTTATTGACACCTAAATGACCTGCCATAGGTGTATCGTGAGCTAAACTCATCACATCTCGACGATAAGCAGCTGGGACCACTATCTGGTGAACAACACGCCACACTTCATCTGGAGAAGCGTCAGGTGGTCGCCATTTTCGCATAAGGATGCCATCTTTTATATAGAAGCATTCTCCAACTTTAGTAGCCTCTTCTGGTGGAAGTGCCCTCTTACTAAGTTGAAGGATATCTGGGTCTTTATGTTGTTCAGAGAGTAAACGTTCTCGGCTGAGGATGTCCTTGCCTTGGTTAACTAGTGGATGCAACTCATCATCCTCACCACCAAATTTTGGTAAAAGTTCTTTCTTCTCTTGCTTCTTGATATTGTGTGGTTCCATGCTTGTTTGAGTGCCATCAAGGTCAGATAAGAAAGTGTCATTCAAATCAATATCAACAGAGGAATCTGTCTCGTCAAAGGCTTGAGTATGGTCTGCCTCCATTTCTCGTCTTCTGGCCATCGCTCTAGTAACAGCACAGGCTGGATAAATGTCATCATCTTCATCATCGCACATGACATTGGAAGTGATTTTCTCACAAACTATAGGATCAGGTACAACCTTCCCACCAGCTAAATCGTTGCCTAACAACAAAGAAATGCCTGGAACGGGAAGAGTAGGTCGAACACCTACGATAACAGGTCCAGTAACTAAATCTGACTTCAAACTAATTCTATGCAGGGGAACATCAATGACGCCTAGCTCCACACCCTGTAATAAAACTGACCCACCAGTAGAAGTCTGCTCAGACAAAGGAAGCACGCCCTCTAACAATAACGTCTGTGCAGCACCAGTATCTCTCAAAATCTGGACAGGTTTTATTTCGCTAGAGTCACCGAGTGAAACAAATCCCTGAGACATAAAGGGCTTATAATCCTCCATAGAATCAATAGAACTGGACTGTGAACCCTGGACATCAGGAGTGTCAGAACAAATCGAAACTAAGGCTTCTCTATCACCTCTAACTGCCGCACAAGCATGTGGTTGAGTTTTATCAAAGTCATTTTTTCTCTTAAGTTTAAAGCATTCACTGATCAGATGACCTTTTTTCTTACAACAACTACAAGTAGGAAGCGACCCTATTCCAGAGGATCCTTCAAAACGTCCTGGACCGGACTTAGAACCACCTTGGGATGGAGACTGGGAACTTGTGAAAGACTGAGACCCTGAACCACTCTTTTTATATGTGTCTGAATTGGTAGAATTACTGCTAGTCTGAGATCTTGATACAAAATTCTTTTTATGAGACAGAGCATAAGTATCAGATATGACTGCTGCCTCTTCAAGAGTTTTCACATTCTTATCTTCTAAATGTGTTTTCAAATCTTGAGGAACACATTCCTTAAACTCTTCTACCAGGATGACTTGGCGCAAATTAGCAAAAGTTTTATCAAGTTTCTTAGATCTAAACCAGTGATCGAATAAATCTTCTTTCTCTCGTGAAAATTCAACAAATGTTTGATTATCAAACTTTCTATACTTTCTGAACTTTTGTCTATACGCTTCAGGTACTAATTCATATGCTTTTAATATTGCTGCTTTGACCTTCTCATAGTCTAAACTTTCAGCTACCCCTAGTGCAGAGTATACCTCAGCTGCTTTGCCAACCAGTACACTTTGTAACATCGTTGACCAAACATTTCGTGGCCATTTAAGATTCTCTGCGACTTTTTCGAATTGGGGAAAATATTTGTCTACAGATTTTTCTTGAAATTTTGGAACTAATCTGATATTTTTTGCTG